TAAGCTCCTCTAGTGTCCCAACGCTGGTGAGAGTTGACAGAATACTCTTCTGCCAGGGTGGCTTGCACCACCAAGGTGGCCATGAGCAGGAAAGTAGCACAAATGCAGAGCAATCTTGTCCTCATTTTAGCAAGATTTGTAAAAGCAAAACAAGCCTGGAGGTTGACAAGAGTAGATGCAAGACGGGTAGATCAACTTGCAGTTTGATGGAGTTGATTTTAGGCGAGTATTTGCCTAAAGATTCTGAGTAAAAAGCCTACAAGACCGAGCGTCCAGTATCTCACTGGCTTTGGTGCGTTGCTCTGTTTGTATCTTTCCGCGCGTTTGTGTGTGCAACCGCAGCCTGCAGGAGGAGAGCGCAGGGGAACTGCTGCTGCCTCAGATAGCTGTGTCATTAATATCAGGACATGGGAGGGAGGGAGAGTTAGAGAGAGGGATGGGAGAGAGCGAGTGCTGAGTTTAGGAGGATGGGAGGGGCAGTACTATTGCGTATTACAAAACACTTTCCACAGCATTGAGAGAAAGTATAGAGATGGAGAAAGATTACACTGGGGTGTGACATTGGGAAGGAGAGGCAGTAAAGAGGTACTGCATATAGTGAGAAAAGCTTTCACTGTCACTCAGGTAATGTTGCCCACTTTCTTCACTGTGAAGGCAGTGACTTTCTCAAAGGAGCGACGCATCTGTGCATATTAATTATCAACTCAGCAGCCTTTAGATGAGGCTGTCTTCAGGCTTTGGGAGTTTAACTGTGTCTAAAATTTCAAGACCCTTTCAGTGAGCCTGTTCAGACTCATGAGCTTATTTGGATGTTTCCCTCATGTCTCAAAATTAGGTTCTGGAGTGCACAGTCTTAATTTTCACTATAAATGTTAGCTTATAATTTGCATAAATCTATTTTTTAATGTATATTTCCTCCTTTCCTAACAATTCATTCTGAAGAAATGTATCTGGAATATTTTTTTTAATTCACATCTGGCATGTGGTCACCAAGACTTCATAATAGCAATTGGATGTTATCCACTCTGGTTGGATGTAAATATAAAATCCCTTTTAAAGTGCAAGATTTTCATTTTGTATAAATTGAGACCATATAAAATCATTTCAAAGCTTTTTACGGCAGCAGAAAACTGTTACATTGCATACAATGTCATACTTGTCTGCAATTCACCCGAAACAATCACGGCAATATAGCAAAATGTGAAGATGCTTAGTTATGATTTATGAATTTTGACTCCAGACGAGCCACGTGGGTCTGGTAGAAAAAGACTGAATATCTGGGAAAGCTCCTAGCTCACTTAAGAATGAAACAGGATTTGTGATACAGAGGACATGTTTGTCTACTCTGGAAATCATAATATATTAATGGCATTATGGACTATTTTGTACTAGAAAAGATATAATCCAATAAGACATATGTTCATTCTTGCATCAAATTTTATCTTTCTAGTCTTAAGGATATGTTCAGTAAACAAAATACAATTTTTTTTTTTTTCAAATGGCCATTTGGCAGAGCTTTAGGAGAGCTAACTAATTTGTAGTCTCTTCCTTGTTCTCCAAGGCGCCATTGGCTGATAAGATTGTATGTTTTAATTGCTGTGGTGTCACTTGTAATTGGTTTATGAATTGGTTTGTTTGCTGAAACATAAACAATAAGACAATAAAGTCTTGTTCAGCAATGGACAGCAGGCTTGTTTTGTATCGCACAATAAGATATATAGTAGTCTTCCTCTTTGGATTGGGGGGTTGTTTAGAATTGCCATAAATAAAATAACACTTTGATTGGCATGTCCATTAAGTAACCATCTTATAGAAATTAAAACAGTATGAACAAATTAATTGTGCGGAGATGACCGCATTTTCTTCATGAAGCAATTCTCCATGTTGATCTGCTTTGAGTTGATTTCAGCTTGCAATAAAATCCTCAGCTTGTTTTTTTATGTAGAATAAAAATGTGTTGGCGTATTAGTTCAGTGGTTTAAGGTCACTGAAAATACACTGGCGTTTTTTTTTGGGTTTTTTTTTTTTGAACAATTATGGATATTTTAGGTGAGTTACAACCAATTCTTGAACCTAATATTCAGAATAAGTGCTTATGGAAAAATGGAGGAGATTTTTACCCTCGCATAATTGTAGAAGACCTCTTCCATCTTACTTCAAACTTGTCTCCACGTGTGTTTTATAGATCAATAAATAAACTGACTATTATTGGGTCATTTTGTGATGGCATAATGTCTTCCAACACCACCTAAAGAAAACAGACATGTAATTCCTTGACGAAGAAAAAAGAAAATGGAAGACTTTGAATACAAGACACTGAAGTGACTATGTCATAAACTCTGAGTAAAGCCATTGAAAGAACGACATTCTCACCAATATTGGGACATTTTTCATCCAGATGGCTGGAGATGCAGATTTTTGGGGTTTTGCTCTTGAATTTCTTACCTCTTCCTTCTTACTTCAAACTTGGATAAATTGAAGATGGATTGATTGATTGATTGATAGATTGATGGATTGATTGATTGATTGACTGATTTCAGAGACTGACGTGTCTCAGAACTTTTGTAGAAAAATAAACTCCAAAAGGAAAACATAACAAGGGAATTTCTCATAACAAAGGGATTCTTTCTTGCTGCAGGCTCCCTTCCAATTCAAAAAGCAGAAAGGACATGAAGGCGTAAAGAGGTTTTGTCTCTCTCTGTCACACAGTGGAATGCAGTGCTGTGCCTCATGGCCGTCATCATTTTTTTCTCCCCCTTTTCAGGTGTAGATTACGAAAGCCGCCAGCTTCTTTTTGATATACATGCCACAAACCTACTGAACTTAAACTCATATTCATTACTGATTGCATCCCTGCTTTCTGGTGCAGGGAAATACAAACAATACCTGCATAAATTCCTTTTTAGTGATTGTTTATCCCTCACTTCAAAGGTGTCACATGTAAGTCTCATGCAAGCATTTCAGGAAGCAGCCAAACCCCTTCACTGCAGCAGATCAGTTCTGGCAGCAGAATAAGAGAGGGTTGCAGAAAGCGCCTCGGGCTGCTTCTCACAGATAAATGCTCGGTGTACAGCCAGGATGTTTGTTCATTCACTGATGTCATCTGCGCTGCTAAAACATAAACACTGGCAGCTACCAGGACTCTAAAAATGGTCAGTTATTTATATATATATATACATATATATTTATCTTTTGTCATTACCAAAGTTCCACTTACAGAGTTCGTACATTTTGAGACGTAAGGTCATCTTTTGTTGTCTGTTGACCTTCGGTGATCGCACGAAAGCAAGAAAAATCTGAACAAATCATGTTAACGACCCACATCAGCCATCCAATTTATATCTCCGTCCTTTCAGACCTTGGAACTTTGCGAGTTCTTATGACAACAGAGAGGTGAACAATTTATATGGGGTGAATCTAAAGACACGACCATCCATCCTCGATTCTTAAAGTTGGGGCGAGATACGAGCCCACGAGGGCGTATATACGATCGGTGCGCCAGTGTGTACGTATCGTTTGTGAAAACTTACTACGCCGTGCCACCGGCGATATCCTCAGTTCTGCAGCTCTGCGATACAGGCGAGGCTATCCCTCATTACTCGCCCCCTCCACCAACCTGGCTCTAAAGATAAGAGAGGAACGCCACCTGTCCTTTGTTTCTATCTCTGTTTCACATCCTCAAAGCTCCTGTTGCAAGGGGAGAAAATTCACAACTCCTGGAGATAATTTCACCTGTAATGATATTTGTGCCAGGCTTTGTTTTTTTTTCTGGTCCTAGTTCTTCTTCTTTTCTTTTTGTTTTAATCCTTCAATCACTGAGCTATTGTTTGTGATCTTGAACAGTGTGTCCTAATTATTAGATCTGCTCGATTTTCTTCTCTTTTACTCACTGACTGCAAAATAAGTTTATTTGCCTCCACTTGCTCTAAATCCTTTTTAGAAAGGCCTCTTTTATCTTAAAGTTTTTTTTAATCACTCATTCTACTGTGAAGAGTCCAGACAATATATGAAAGATTTTTTCTTAAAACAAAAATCCCTGTGTTAGAGCAAAAAACAAACTTTCTCTTTTTTAAAAAGTTCAAACTTTTATTCAATCTGAAGCCATAAAAACTAAAGTAGTTCAATTGTTCACTTCTAAAACTTGATTCTCCCTCAAAATAACATTAGACTTTTGAGCTGTAAGCAGTTTTCTGGTGTGTATGTATATATATATTTATTTTTTCCAAAGACAATGAATTTCCTTAATGAAAGTTGACACCCAGGAGGATTCAAACACAATAACCATAACTTTTCTTCTTTTTTTTTAGTTTGAACCTGTTCCTCAGATTTAATACTCTTCTTCTTCCTTTTTGTGTTTCTTCTTTCTGTTTATGCATGTAGTGCAGATTTGCTATAAATGTTACTTCAGGGCACTTTAAATGTCTGTTTATCTTTTTCATTATTTATAACCCAATTTGGCCCATATTAAGTTCAAATCTATGCATTTTATTTCAATTCAATCATACTTTTAAATCAGCATCCATTTCTCCAGGCTGATTTACTGTCTGTTGGAACAAACACATCATAGAAAGGCAGCTAGTGCTTCATTCGTGGTTCTGTCCAAGAAAGAAACACAGAAGCATTTCAGCAGATGTATTTTCTATCCATAAACAAATCAAATGTCAACAACATGCAAGCATTGATCCTGTGACCACAGTCATTTAGTAAATTAGAATATTTTTGAAACGTTCTTCTAGTTCTGTATTTCTGTTTACTAAGTGAAACTCACACTGGTGTTTTCAACCCTTTTCCTCTGGCAATTGTCATCATTTTTTTACATACAGCTCAAGGAAACAGAATATTTAAGATTGAAATATGACATCAAATCATTAAAAAAAAACACTTCAATTATGGAAATATGAGCATTTGATCTTATGATTACATCTTATAGGTACACATTCTAGCTTTTTGAAAAGAAAAGATGCTTTTCAAATTTGTGTTCACCATTTCTGTTTTTTCAGATGTTGTCCTCGGGCAAAATTAGCCAGGCCACATTCACAAAGGTGAAAGACAGCTTTCAGCTTCTTCAGGATAATTTAAAGAGGTATGTTATTATTTCATTTATATCCCATATTGGGTTCAATATTTGTCTGTATGAGTCACTTAAATTTCTTCTAAAGCTTGACAAGAGGTTTGTCTTTTGCTCATGTTTTGAGATTAACCTAAGATAACATAACTGTAAATTCCAATTGAGACAATTGTGGATGAATTAATATATTTTAAAAAATAAATTTTGATATCTTGACTCATCCGTATCCTTTGTTAAAAATGTAAAGTTATCTAGGGTATGAGAAAATAACATGACTTTTATTAATTAAAAAAAATGTAACTTTGTACATTTAGTTTGCTGTGTTCACAGCTGCATTGTGCCAGTTAAGTGTCACTTTGCTGTGAAAAGGCTTTCCTATGGTTAGAGGTTTATAGAATGTTGCATTACATTAAGTTTTAGTTTTAATGAGAGAATTACAGTTATTTAATACTACATTAGTATTTCAGTTGTAATTATTAGAGTATAACCAGGCATAGAAAGCCAATTAACATGCTTTCTTGAAGGAAATTAAAGCAACACTGGGGTAATATTTTTTTTCTGAGCAAATATCTGCATGAAGTAGTCCATGCTTGTCCTCAGTTTTCTTCCTGTGGAAGAATTAGAACAGAATTACACGGCTGTTTGCGATGTAATGCATTTTTCCCCCTTTTCATTCTGCTCTTCTGCAGTGCGCAAAGTTCTGAGATGCAGCTTTTGGGAGAGGCAAAGAGGTGTCAGGCTGAGCTGGAGCGGCTCCAGGTAGAAGTACGGAGCCCGAAAGAGCAGCGGGACCCCCCTGAGGAGCCCGACGGTGAGGTCAGCAAGCTGAGGCGACAGCTCCTGCAGGCGCACAATGAACTGCGAGCTGCTGAGGACAGAGAGCACGCAGCACGGCACCGATTGCAGCGGTAAGACGGATGCATGCATGCGTGCGTGTGCGCGTGCATTCACACACACACATGCGGGCACTGCGCATAAAATGCACACATCACAAATGGAAACTTGAGCAAATGCAAACTCGACACACCTGAGAGGAACACAAGGAACGGAACAGAAGACAAGTGAAATTAGAGTGCAAGAGGAGGAAGTTATGTGTGGAAGGAAAACTGACATGCGCATTAAGACACACACACACACACACACACACACACACACACGCACACACACACATACAAACTCACACAGCTGTAACTAGGGACCAAACACTGAGGTGAGCTTCATGAGGCAGCATCTTTTCATTGACTTATGATAGAGGTGAAGGTGAAAGAGAATTGGACACGCACAAATATTCATAGAAGTGTCACTTTTTTTTTTTTTTCAGTTTTTTGCACCATTTCTATTCACTCAAGAAAAACAAGAGAATCAATATTTTCTGAAGATTGTTTTTATTAGTCACCTCGTAGGAGATTTCCAGCGAACTTGTTCCAGTACTAGTCCGAGTTCTCAGCCCTATCATTTTCCACTCCAGCATTTTTTTACTTTTATTCTCTAGAGCCCCTTTCCTCATCTCAACCAATTCTCCTCCTCATTGCTGCAGTTTTTTTTTCTTTCTTCCTCCCTCACCTCTTCCAAGAGTCCCTCTGAAAGGTCAAACACACCCAAAGTTATGGAAAACAACCACTTTCTCCAGTATCTCTGTACACAAACTTCACTTTGTGAAGTGTCAAAGGGAGGTTAGCAGGAAATTGCCAGGCAACATGATAACATATCCCGGTCTTTCCAGAATTTTTCTGCCAAATATCTTGGCTTCTGACTCTTAAACACTGGAACATGTGCTCGCAACCGCACGTTAGGGGTTGTATATGGGAAAATGTTGTGCAATTGTTTGGTTCTGAAGTGGAATGAAAACACTTGGCGCTTCCAGGTTTTGTCATAGTAGAAACATGAACATCCATGTGATCTATTTGGAATTTATACAATGAACCGACACAAAATGCCACAAAACTTGACGTGGAAGAGAAAGAATGTGCAGCTTGTGACAATGTTTTACTAGTGAAAATGTTAAATATGGTTTGCAGTTATGTAAATCTGTCATAAACTCTTTTTACAGATTCTTACAAAAACTGCTGCGCTAATAGTCATTAGTCGATTGTGTTTTACTAATTTTTTTTGTCAGATATAAACTTGGGTAAGCATGTCGCTTAACCACATAAAATCTAAAACATTTTAATGCTAATAAACGCTTAGTCGGGATTATTGCATTGATCATTGACTTGTCATTATTCATTAGGGTTTTTTCTGCTTAAATCGTGAAGAGGAAGCAAAATTACAAACATAATCAAGAGAAGAAGATGGCAAATGATGTTTGGCTGACGAACACTTATTTTATTATCATTCTCGCGTTACAGTTTCCCCAGTGCTGCATCTACATCGTTAAACCATACCCTGGGTAGGTTTGTTTGCTAAAGATGTGATCAGAAGGAAGCTGTGGTTTGTTAGAGCAGGCTCTGGTATGGAGCCTCAGTGGCTCGGCAGTAATTTAAATATTAAATAAAAACCACTTGCTCTGCGGTCTCTGTAATATCCGCGATAGATATTCAGAGAGCATGTTATTCATGACTTCTTTTTCCACCAGTGAGCTCTCTTGTGTTCTCGGTATCTGCTTCTCCCCTGGTTCCAGCTGAAGCCCTTGCATCTCCCCTCTTCCTGACTTCTCCTTGGCTTGTTTTCCTCTTTCGCCTCTTTTCCTCACAGCTATCAGTCCGCACATGACAAGCAGACACTCACCATGAAAATGCCCCCTCTTTTTTTTTTTAAAGAAGAATAATCATATTTTTTTTTATCTCTACTCATACAGACCCACAGGAATTCAGCACTTCTCCCCTCCGCCCCACACAACCTTCCACCCTCCAGTCCCACATTGCAGCATTCCTGCAGTTTTCTCTGTATCAGTTAATATCCAATATTTCAGCTTGTCAGGAAGATTAATATCATTTGCCTTGTGAAATGTGCAGCTGTACAGTATGTGCTGTTGTAAGGTTTTTCATAATGACAAAGCTGACTTGAAATTATTTCATACAAACTTTAATCGACTGCTCAAAAAGCATCTGCCTCGGGGAGATGAAAAATTCATAGAAATTATGTTCTCATAGGCCCATTCATAGTGTGTGCTCAAGATTTATGTGCTTCTGTAAGATCTAGATTGTTGTGTGTACTCTGAGCCATTTGTATGCTACCTGTGTCTTCACCAGCAAAGCCTAAAAATACTTCTTATTTGTCTCAGTAGAAGGTGAATTTACAAGAAAATCCATATTAGTCAAATTCTAAAAAATGCTCGCAAGTTCTTGTACACTCCTCTTTCCGTTCAATCGGGAACTGAAACACGGTTTCTCTCTCTCTCTCTCTTAACTACATCCCCACACTCCTTCCTCCATCGCCTTATCTGGCTTCTCCTCACCACCATGCAGTCTCTGGGAAGAGAAGCAGCATCTGGAGAGAGAAATTCAAACACAACCTGCTGTAAGTTCATCACTGCACCATCCTGGACTGAGTTTCAGAGGCAAGGATTACAGCTATGATGGCAGTTTTAGCAGAGGATAAATATAAGTTTTGCTTGAATTCTCCAGCTGAGACTAATCCTTTGTGAACTTTGTGGGGGTTTTTTTTACAAAAAATATATGTTCTTCATCCCAAAGTTGGTGAAGGTTTATGCTGTGGAAATGTGCAAAATTATTGTGTTTAATTGCAGAACCGTAATTCCATACTGGCGCTGGCGTCATGCACATGAAATACCACAAGATGTTTATCAACAAGATATTAATCCAAAGCGTATGATGAAATCCATTCAGATATGCACGCTAGTCTTGCATGTTCAAACTAATGAATAAATGTACAACAAATTGTTGACTTCTCTCTCTATGTTTTTAAGTGTGTGATTAGACTGCCTTGATAAAAGATTTAACTGAAGGCTTTTGAAAAATCTTTACCAGGGGTGCCAATTATTGTGGAGGATACAGTAAATATCTATTATGTATCATTATCTCTGTTTAATTAAGGGGGGAGACGTTAATTCATTGGCTCATTGTGCTGCTCTTCAGTATTAGGTGAAAGTCGTGCTTTGTGTAAAGAACTCCAATGCCACAGGGCTCGTTAAAGCCCTATAATTTAGTCTTTTCACTAATAATGTTGTGCGAATTTTTCAAATCCAGCAAAGCCACCCTACATTAGCAACAACAAAGACATCCATTTTGTGGAATAAAATGTGATTGCATTTGCACGACTGGACCAAAACCCCTTAAATAACTCTCAAAATGTTGCATCAGAATACATATTTAGCAGATTTTGCTTTTGAAGAGTAGCGTTTGAGCTTTGAACAACTTAAACCGGCAAGTTGTTCAAAGCTTGCCGGTTACTGATTTTGCAATTTCAGATTATTCCAAATGTGCTTCTCTGAGTTGTTGCTTGTTTGCTAATGGCATTTTTTAAAAAAAAATACAGATTTGGAGTCAAAAAATGGCCATGAAACACATTTCCTTCTTCTAGATAAAAGCAATCGCATAACTACTTCTCTCATACAACCCACGATGGTTTATGTGAATCGTGTGCACAGCTTTTAAAATAAAATGATGCAATATTCATAAGGTATTTCTCTATGCTTGTTGAGAACACATTGTGTATTTAGATATTTTTAAAAGGAAGTTTTTATTTTGTAGTCTGAGGATGGAAAAGGGATGACTTTAATCTTCAAATTATTCCTTGCAGCAAAACCATCAGATGTGGCTCAATGACAACAAATTTGCAAATGAGAGTGAGTGGAAATATTTCAACAACATTGGATTGCAAATGCTTAGGTGGCTCAACTACTTTTTAGTTGAGGGGGAACAGTCGTCATTTAAAACGCAGATTTACTGCGGGAGAATGTTCAACATACTGTGGCTGAAGCTACAAGCTAAACTCTGTCTGAATAGAGGTGCAGCCATGTATTTCTGGACATTTTAAGGCTTAGCAGGAACGTCCTTGTGATTACAGCAGTGGAAAATAAATGAATAAATAAAACATTAGTTGGCTCTTTATTATTTTTTACCAAAGGCTAGTGTTGAAGGTCCAAACAGCCTCTTATTGCTCCAGATCCACAGGTTTCAGACTAATTCCTTCAGTCACCACCAGCAGAAATGCCAGGTGTGTGTCTGACCTTAAACCCGAACTCTACAGGTTGGGCTACAAGTTTTCATACATAGAAAAAATAAATACTTCATATTGGGACTCTGTGTTATCGCTCCACGTCTTGGACCACTGTGTGGTTGATCTGCAATATTTCCAGTATTCTGAAGCTTGCAAATAAGTTTTGCCACAGTGTCGTGTGTGACGCTCGTTCCATGTTTTCTGTTAAAGTTTTGCGCAACCATGCGACTTTTTCCCGATTCAGCCATCAGTATAATTTCAATTCTTTGCTCTTTTGTCAAATGCATCTTCTTGGGTATCTGAAATAAAAGAAATATACATTTTACATTCTCTTACATATGGAAACTTATGTCCCACCCTGTATAAAGAGAATCAGTAACAACCTGCTTCTAAAACTTGACTTCTGCTGGATCCTCTCCACTGGTCTTGGGTTAATTTTGTCGGTGTATCCTCCAGGAGCTGGAAAGCAACACAGACATGTTGAAGGACAAACATGATGCTCTGAAGAAAGAAGTGGCCCAGAGACAACTGGATGTCAGGTAATGAATTAATTATGAAGTCAGAACTTATGGAGGCTTAGCTTCATAATTCACTTTTATTCTGCTGGAAGAAGTTCCGAGTGTGAATTTGCCAGTGTGGGTTTTCAGTTTTACTATCTAATTTTTTATTTTGTCATTTTTGTAACCAGATGCGGCACTTTTGACTTGGTCGTTAAAAAAAAAAAGAAGAATGTTGGTTTATTTATTAGGGCCCTGCGGACATTTTTACACTCTTTTAAACTTTCTAATGTTACAACCACAAACTTCCATTTTTATAGATTTTTTTTTCTTTATGTAGTGCAAAATTGTACTATAGGAGTATTTTTGGTAAAACAAATCTGAAAAGTTTGCCGTGCATTTATATTCAGCTCTGTAGAGTCGATACTTTGGAGAACCAGCATCCTGACTTTACAGCTGTAAGTATTTTACATTATGTTTCTACTGCTTGTGTAAATCCAGAGATGTTGTTTTTTCTCCTATACTTTGTTGCAAAAATAGTTTGTCTGGTTGCATGGAAAACATCTGGAGATGTATGTTTATAAGTCTTCCCAAAGTTTCTCAAGCAGATTGAGGTCTGAACTTGAGTTTTTCACCTCACATTACAGGCAAATATATTCATCTTGTGAATCTTGTTCCATGTCCGTCAACAATTTTTGTAAATAATTGCTCTCTGTAACAAATGTATCCACCTGAGTTATGGATGTCTACCACCACTATAGATTTACTCTGATTTTGTTTTATCTTAAGTTTGAATTTTCTTTTTCTTTACTTACTTTTTGATTGTGGACAAGATTTGTGACTTTTCAGTTGAGCTTTAATTTTTTCATTTTTGCATCCTGCATTCCTATAATCGAGTCCTCTGATGTCGACATGGAGACGTTAACATCAAACTATTTTTTTTTTTACGTTTTCCTTGATGTCTGCTGTTTCTTTGTCTCCATGATTCTGCTTGTTCTCCAAATTTCCCAGCAAATCTCTGCAGCATTTATTGAACAGATATACTTGCACAGATTCAAGCGGACTACATGACTTGAGTGACTTCTGAAAGTGCCGGATTATGTTTTTGGTTATACTCATTTGTGAAGCAATGTGTGATTTTTATTCCGTTTCATCGCTACTCCCCACTCTGGGCTAGTCTATTGCACAAAATCCCAATAGAATACATCAAAGTTTGTAATTGGAATGTAGGAAAAAAAAAAAAAAGCCGAAGGTGTGAATAGTTTGATAAAGGAAGTGAACATGTTAAGTGTCCTCAGCTAAACCAGCAGCCAGAGACAGGTTTAACGTTTAAACGTGCTGAATATATTTCATAACCCGTTTGAAGATGTCCACATTTTTTTTAAACTGCATGTTTTTGTATCCTGTCCTCTTAAATTCTGTTGAAGGAAAAACAATTCTGATGAGAAATGCATTTGTTTATCCCTTTGCTTCTGTTGCATGTGCAGAACTCTGATGGAGGATTTGGAAACACTTGAAACGCTGCAATTAAAAGAACAAAAAGAGCTGGAAGAAAAGATGGAGATCATCAAAATCAAAGAGGTCTGTGCGTGTGTGTGCGTGAACCACTGAGCTCAGCCAGTGGCCTTCAACCTATAAATGAAATACATACAGCTCATCAGATTTCTTACATCTTTGGTTGCATTCATCTACATTGTTGTTTCAAGGCTGAGAAAGCACAGCTGGCCTGCGTAGCTAACCGGATAATACAGGAAACTGAAAGAAAACACTCTTTATGGGAGTAAGTGAATTTAATTATTTTGCAATTTTTACATAAGCTACTGCTAGTACTCTAAACTAATTACTCTACATTAAAAATCTCTTGTTCCTGGGGAATTCAAATCTGGTGTTTTTCCTATTTATTTCTTGTTAGTTGTCCAGAGTTGCACTCTGCTGCAGTAGCCCATCTGCTTCAGGGTTAAACATGGTGGGTGTTTAAAAGTATTTCAAACAATAAGCTATTATTGGCTTGATATATAGACAAGCTTGTGTGAAGCCTATCAATGCTTTTGTGAAGTACTTTGAATGTTGCATGACAGTTTGTGTCTGAGTATTAGAGGGTTTGCTAAAGTTATGTTTGTGAGTTTTTGAAATTTTATCAGAAGATCCTGTTAAATCTGCTGATTTTTATTATGAAATCATTAAACTGTTTACGTCTTGCACAAATAACCAGAAAAAAACTTTTATTTATTATTTTATTTTTTTAATTTTTTTACTCAACAAATAAAAATCAGCAGATTTGTTATTACTTGCAGGATGCAGCAATAAGCCAATTCTGCATCTGTCTGGGATTCTGTTGTTCCAATGGGTCTGTTGATTCTTTTCCAGTCTCTAACTGGATCATTTCCTCTTTCTTTGCTCGACGTCTTCTGACAGCCTTCCAGGGTCGCCGCGTAGCGAGTTTAGTGCTTCGAATGTGCCTTACTTTTCTTTCGCCTCCGACATGTTTGGTTTTCGGAGGTTGCCATAATCTGAAAGCATAACGTGAGTCATGCGAGATGTCACCAGGCTGAAACTTTTTCAACCATGTGTCTCTGGCATTAATTATTTATTTTTTCCCAATTCTAAATTTACATTTGGCTTTCAAGTAAGGCTGGGGACCTGTCTTTGTGAGCATCATAAGCTATGACTTGGAAAATGTAAAAGCTGGAGGATTCCCATGGTCTCGTTTGCACGATGACTTTTATGATGCACCCTCTCACAATACCTGCCTGAAATCTGTTGTATATGCATTTTGTCATCCCACTAATTAAAACACCAGAGTGGCAATGAAGAAGATGGACTCCCTAAACACAGAACTTTCAGAAGCGAAGCATCAGATGAGGAGTGTGGATGAGGGTAATCAGTCCCTGGAGGTGATGAGGGAGGAGGTGATGCAGGAGCTGGAGCGGCTCAGGGCTCGGATAGAGGCATGGCAGAGGGAAAACAGACAGCTACTGAAGAAGCAGGAGATCTGCAGGGAGGAGTCGTCTGAAATCATGGGCAGCAGGTGGAAACTTTTTTGTTGTTGTTTCTCTTAAGTTAAAAAGGATGAAATATTAACCTTGTTTACCAGAGTGCACTGCTTTATTTTCCATCTTTTTAAATGTTGCAAGAGAGTATTGTTCATGTCAATGTGTGTGTTTGTATTTTTTTTTTTCCTGGCCAGAGGTATTTTGGAAATAAAGCTGCACAACCTCATGACTGATAAGAAGCAACTCCACGAGAGCCGATCTTTGCAGCTCCGAAAGAAAAATAAGTAAGTATACAGAATCCATCTTTCTTTTTACAATTTGGAACTCCTTTTTGTTTCCTTCTGGGTATTTTGCCTTACAGTGTTTCACAAGTTTCAATCAACATGAATGGAAGTTATTTTCTTACACAGAACACACAGCCTAAAGGCTTTTTTTTTTTTTTTGTGAACCTTGTGTTTCTTAAGTTAACAGCATTATCATAGAAACTGAAACGTTGCCTTCATTAGTTGCTCTCTAATCTGAAATAACAAACGTTGTAGCTGTGAGTGCCATGACAGATGGTTCTGGTCCAGACCTAAATGCATCTGATACATTTTAAACTTGTATTTACTACAAAAAAAATTTTATTTTCCTTCCACTTTGAATTAATAGAAAGGCTTGCAGAAGTTTTACATGAAATCCTGAAATAATACAATAAAATGCATCCTTGTAATGTATGATGATGTGAAAAAGTTATGAACACTTTGGTAGAAAAATTAGTCACAGCAAACTGGCTTTAAATAGATGGCGGCTTGACCTAAGTTTTAATTTTTTGAACTAAGTCTAATCTCTGTTCCCATTTCGCTGTATTGCCTGTCTTGTGACGTTTATATCTGGAAGGAATCCATGAACCATATCAACCAGCAGATTTTTATCAACTTACAATTCTTGTGGAAAGATGTAGAAAGTAGAGCCTGGTGATGGATGGAATAAATATTTCAAATGTTTTTTTTTTCTCTATTTCCTCAGGCATGTGGAGGCCCTCAGAAGGATGGAGCATGCCGTATCCATGGCCACCGAGCAGCTAGCGTGCACGCAATCCGTCTACAAGAACATACAATCGCAAGTGGTGTGTGAAACATTTGCATGCATAGCAGAAAAATATATCTGTATGTTATTAGCGCGTTTGTTTTCACAAATATAGCCTTTATGGACTGGGAAGAAGAAAAAAAGTTCTAATTGTGCTTGAAGTGTAGAGGACACGGAAAATGCATCAATGGTGCTTCGATCAGAAAAACCATCAAATAAATATATATATTTTCTTACTAACATGATAAAGGCAGCATTATTCTGTGGGAAATATTTTTTTTCAATTGGAATCATGAAGTTTGTCAAAGCTAATGAGGTGATGTGTGAATACTGGACAATCCTGAAATAAACCTTTTTTACACCTAATACATTTTCTTCAGTGGGATATTAAATATTTTTTTTTAACAGAAAATGCCAAAAGAGCACAAACAGTGCAGAACCATTCAGTAAATCAAGTTATTAATGAAAAGCCCATTTATTCCATCAATACATTATATAGATAAATTACACGTATGTTTGAAAGCTTTTTTTCCCAATTTTATATGATTGTTTACCTCTTACAGGTAATAAAAATGACATTTAAAATAAGAAATAATATAAGCCCAATAAAAACTTCTTAAACAGAAATTTGGGTTCAATGAAACATGTTTGATACCTGCTATAAGATTGTTAGTTTCAAAATGTCATTTTTATTGTCATCTGATCACATAATTTCAGATGTGTTCAGACTCCAAATTTATTGAATATGTAGTTTGCAGCCTATTGGCTGCATTAAAAAATGTATATTTTCTACACAGTTAATGTCATTCTTCACGGAAATGTCATAAGTATATTGACAATGCTTTACGTGTATTCTTTACAACATTTAAACATTAATCAGTTCTTTCACATTTTTGGCCAAAAGTTAAGAAGTGAATCGTTTAAAGAGTCACAAATGCATTTGGAGCTGATTTAAACTAAAACATGTTCAATATGTGACAGTGTCCCAGTCAAAGTTCAATAAAGAATTTGTCACTTTGAGGTACATGCTGAACCTCTAACCTTAAAACAAATTGCTAAAATTAAAAAAGAATCTTTTTAAAAAATTTTTTTTTGAATAAATACATCAGGAGAAGATTTGCAGAAAATGCATATTTCACCATACGCTGTGTGTGAGTAGAGCTGCCAGTATTTCCAATCTACCCATCATTTTACTATTTAGCACAGATTTTTAAAGAGAAAGGAGGAAGAAAGTTTGAGGACCAGCCTCATTTGGAAATGCATCAGCATATCTCCCATGCTCAAACTAAAAGCAGAGGAAATCGCAGTGACGCAAACGGGGAATTCACAGTTCTGCAAAACAGAAAACAACTATGCTGTTGGGAATGATTCACTCAGTTTTCCCCGTCACTGGCCTTCACATTTCTGCTAATAACTTAGTCCATTATGACTGCTCAGCGGAATCTGTTGGTTTACCACAGAAATGCATCTCGTTCTGAGCTAACCGTTGACAATTAACGGGCTTAATATTTTCAGCATGCTGTGTTTTGTGTTGGTGTTTACGCATCATCTTTATTGGACTCTTTCTGTGGCTGAAACCAAATCAGACTGTCGGGATAGAAAACATGCATTTGGCATTAATATCCCCTTATTTGTGAACAAACTCGCCCATTTGAAGTGTGCTGCTCTACAGCTCATTACTTTGGGATCAAGGTGGTGGTACAAATGAAAACACTTCTACCGTATCATGTAACCAACCGAAAGCAAATTCCCGCTGCTGAGATCCAGGACCAACTTTAGGCAGATGAAAGATCTTGCATCCAGATGAAATTTTAAACAGGCTCTTGATTTCCACTGCGCTCTGCTCTAAATATTCAGCTGGATGCTGTTCCCGAACGAGAGGCCAGCGCTCGGCAAAGGATGGAGCTGGAGAAGGAGATTGATTCACTCGCAGCCGGCTTTGAGAAGCAGGTGGGGATGTGTTCCTGTGACAGCAACAGCCTGAAGCGCTCTCAGCTCTGTCCAGGCTTCCTACACGGCTTGGAAGAGTTTCCTCTCAGTGTTTCAGTGGATAAGTATAGAAAACAAAAAATACGAGTGCAGAGAAATATTCGTATTTCCAAATATTAGTCTCTATCCTACTGCTTAAAGTTGTTCTTTATTATGTCTGTCCCATCTTTGTCTTCTTGCTTGCTTTCTAGTCTTTTGCGTCCTTCCTTCCATTCCGCCATTTTTCTCCCATTTCTCATCCTTTTTCCTTTCTGTCATTTCATTTCTTGCTTTCCTTTTTGTGTCCTTCATTTTTGTCCTTTCCAACTTCCTTCTCTGATTGTAATTTTTCCGTATCTTTTATTCTTGTCCAACATATCTTATGTTTGTGTATTTGTTGGTTCCTTTGTTTCTGCTTTCCTCATTCATTCCTTCATTCAGTCTTTCATTCATTCATGTGTTCCTTCCTTTGTCTTTTTTGCTACAGTTTTACTGGGTGCTTTTATGAGTAAATTCCTCATATTTTAGATGTTCTATGTTCTTAAAAGATGTCATAAAAAAAGCCTTTTAGCGATTCATTTGTGAAGAAGATATCTTTTCTCCTTCTGTTAATGGACTTTTCAGACATCTTGTCATATTAATCTTGCAATTTCACCCAACTGTTCACATGGCTTTTAAGTGGAGAAACGTGTTTCCATCCAGGTTTCTATGGCTGAGGAAGAAAACCAGAAGAAGCATCAGAACGGGGTGATCCAAGAGCTGCTCAGGGAGTCAAATCACCTCAGAGAGGAACTCCATAACCTCAGATGTCTAAGACAGATTAAAGCGGAGGAGCGGAGCAAGAAGCACCGGGAACGTCTCAAGGCAGAGGTGCTAACTCACACAGACAAATTTAAATAAATTGGACATCCTTTGCTGTGTTTTTGTGTTTTTTCTATATATATATTAATCCATTCAAAATGTCAGAAAGGGTACTTTTTTTATTTATATTGAAGAATGTGCAGCCACAAGGAGAAGTGGAATTTCAGAAAACCATAAATAAAACCTACACAGAAGTGATGATGCTGGGGTTTTACCTTCTTAAATCTATCCACAGCAACTGAGCGAGCGCATACAGCAGGAGCTTAGAGAGAGAGAGCTGATCATCATGGACCACAACAAGCGCAACGCGGTGCTTCAGTGCAGGTGTTGTTTTCATTTCTATATTCAATATGCAAGTGTGTGTGTGCAAGGATGATGCTGCAGAGAAAAGCATGTCTTACTAATTGGTCATACTTCGGCGTACACAACGCCTACGACACCCCGCAGCGCAACAACAGGCCTCTCCAATGCATTCATTAAGGTCACGGCACGCAGACTACATACTGATGCCGCTTCGCCCGACGTGGAATAAATCCCTCCCAAAAGCAAAAACACAGCAGGAGGATAATTAAAAATTTTTGATTATCCTCTCGTGGGTCTCTTATTCAGCGATCACACGCCGCCGCATCATACATGAGTTTTAAATCGTAACTGAGTAAAGTGTGATCCTGCGTGAATCTTTTTTTTTTTTGTAGAAACAATTTTATGATCCACTGATCATTTGTAATGAATTTGAAATCAAGCTTACCTCAATGGTACATTGCCTTATTGACAACCACTGAATCCTTATGTATGTATGTATGTCTATATACATATATATAGATGTAACACTTTAAAGGGAAAATATAGTTATGAAAAGTAGGTGGGATTTGTGTTGCTACAGCAACTGTATTGGTTTTGTTTTTTTCTCTCTCTGTGCCAATTTGATGACAGATTCTAAAACCTTATCCTAATTTTAATTTCCTTTTCCTCCACCAAATGTTTTTTTAAGGCTAAAAAACCCTATTAGATTCTTGAGACTTTCAGCTGCTTCCATTCACTGCTCCATTGTTGTTTTAAAATTAGACCAGTGGTTTGCTAATGTAGCTTCCTTAGTATTTGAGAAAATATTTATCATTGAGGCTAATCGTCAGATTATCACTGCCTTGTAAATGAATGCAAGCAGACTTTTTGCATTTTTTGTCACAATTTTTTTTTTATAAGTTGCCTTTCCCTACAGTGGTGGTTTACGCCCGGAGCTTACTGATGATGCTTTTCATGTCCTCTGATGGAGTGCTGGCTAGTTGAGTCTTTTAAGCTGCTGCTCTGAGCTGGCACTTTTCTTGAATTATTCCATACAAGCCTCAGCCTTGTGGACTTACATTTGTGGCTTCTGAATCACTACCGACTTCTTAGGCAGCCACTCTATAATTCTCTGTCTGACTTTTTACGTTCTGTGTGCGACAACAAGGATTTTGCCCTGTTTCAGACGCATTCATGGACATCCTGCTTTTGTTTGTTTGTTTGTTTTTACATAGTTCAAGAAATGAAATGAAGCAAGCCATAGTTCAAAGCCCAGCTATAAAAGTAATACAAATGATATCTGAATGGTTTTTAGGACCATTTTTAATAACCAACACTGGCTAAATATTGCAAACGACTTAGCAGAACAGATGAAAAGACATAAATCTACATGCATATATATAAATAATGAGGTGTTTTTGATAGGAACAGAAGCAATGTGCTAGACCTTGTTTTGTTTCTCCTTTGTGTGTGTGGTTTTTTTAATTGCTTCTCAGAATATCACAGTATTCAAAACTGCGTGACAAGTTCCTGGAAGAGAAGAATAAGTATGTGAGGCTGAAGCAGATTGCCTCTCAGACGATCTCCGATTTGACGGCGCAACTTAACAACCTTGAAAACGAGATGGAGACTCAGCGCTCTATTGCTGACAGCAAGGACAGGTGCGTTTATGCGTCTGAGCAGGTGGCTGGCATTTACATTGCTACAGCACAAACCTCCATAGTAATTTTCATCCAGAAAAATTGGCTCTACATGTTCAACTTTTGACTAAATTTGTATAGGTGACATGCAAAACATGTCACTATCAGTTACAAACTTAGTGTTTTTAGTGGGGTTTGATGTGAAAAATTAAAGCATAATTAAAGGATAAATGAACAGTGGAAAGTAAAATATACATAAAACAAATATATATATTCATTTTCACATATATAAATCTGAAAAGTATATACCCACCTGAGTGAATACTTCTTAAGTCCTTTCGCTGCAGTTATAACTGTAAACCTTTACTAGTTTTAGAAATCTTGGAACATTTTTACCAATGCTTTCCCTTCTTGCAGATAGTATCCCATAGCATTATGCTGCCACTACTATGTCATACCATTGGGAGGGTGTGCTTAGAAATGTGCAATGTGGTTTTGTGCACACATATTTTGCATGTCAGTGCCTTTTTGAGGCAGTTGGTTAGATTGGATTTTATTTGTTAGAGTTAAAGAACAAAGACCACACCTTCAGGATATCAAATCACCAATTAATAAGTTGATTGGTTTTATTTCGTTTGTCGATCACCTATGTATCAAGGTTTAGTTGTGACCTGACGAAATAAATTACACTGAGTGTACCTGCTGGACTTTTCCTTGTCTGTCTGTTTCAGATTACTGACAAAGGCTCACATGAACGTCTCCAGCAGCTCCAAACTGAGGGAGAAACTGCGTAATGAGATCTCTAAGGTCTGCACCCGTACACTCGAACACAGGCGGAGGGGCAAACAAAATAACATCACCTGTCTAAAACCAAAGCAGTCAATACCCAACAACGAATATTGAGATTCACAGCAATGAGAGCAGTACAAAACTTCTGTGGATTTTCTGGGGATGTATCGAAGCTTTGTTTTTTTTGTGAGAACCAACTTTCCAACCCTTTTCTTTTTTCTTTTCATTTTGGATGGCTTTATAGAAATCAGTAAGCAACTGCAGATCCGGTATTTATTTGTGCCTTTTACGAGGCTTTCGAACATTTATCACACACAGGGCGGTTTATAAAAGTTTATCGACTTCTCTGGAGTCTGCTTAACAATCCCATGGTTTTAAAGTACGTTTCTACATCAAGCTGAAACTGCTTTAACAATTTGTTGCTCAGTGTTTATGAAGTATATAGTGTGGACAAAATGATTACAGCACATGGCTGCTTTCTAACCAGACTGGGACCTTTTTGCTCCTTGCCTCATATAAATGCATATTTAAGGGTGAAAAATGTAATTCCGATTTGAACTCTTTCCCAGTTAACATGGAAACAACAACAAATCCATCAGCAGCATGAGGACAACAAACTGGAGTTAATCAATCTCACCCAAATGATCAAGTTCCATGAGGGGATTCTTCAGGAAGTAAAGGGAAGTCATGAGAATGCCATCCAAAGACGCAATTTTCTGTAAGTTTCTAACTTGCATGTGCCGGTGAAAGCTTTCCCTTCCGCTAACTATCACACTTTGTGATCTTATTTCTTTTTACGTACAGGGGGATACGGCTCTCGGAGCAGGACAAAGTTTTGTCCAGCTTTTATGAGCAGGTGAAGAACCTGGAGGCGGCCGTCGCCAAAAGCAACAGAGCAACCGAGGCGGCGGAGAAGGACGTGAGAGAACTGCAGATCGAGATTAACGACGAGAAGAGGCAAATGGACCTGAGGAAGAGGAAGGTGTTGCTCAAGAGGAAACTGGAGCAGGAGATCATCATGCTGCAAATCGAGGTAGAAAAACTGCAGTGTATAAAACTATCATGTCTACTGATCCAATCCAATCAACAAAAGAACAGCAAACGGAAACTGATTTTTTATTTATTTTATTTTTTTGATGCTCATGCCTGATTGTCGGGGTCGCCATCTGGTATTTTATTGTAATAAATGAGCATTTTCGATGGGTTGGTACTATTAAGGCTGTCTGTGCATATAAAGCCTCTAATCAGGGAGGAGTGTGCCAGCAGGATATTGGCATGAGGATGACTATCAGTGTTCCTGGATGCCGTTCAGCTTCATATTTTAGGAACCCCATCAGGGTGCAGTCAGATCCGTCAATTAGTGCTTCCTGTGGTTGTTCAAAGGATGAAGGTTGTTCCGGACCCGATGGTTATATATGCAACGTTTTTCCAGGGGAGCTTCTGGTGATTGACGTCTCCGCGAATGTGTTTTAAGCTCGCCCCGTTTTTTTGTTGAACCTTTTCCTGGATTGTTTTTAGAGGTGAGGGGGAAAAATAGTGGGGGAGTCAAAATGAAAGACAGGACTTCCTGCAACTGAAAATAGAGCAGAGGAAGAGAGCAAGGAGAACACCAGGTCCTTCAACTACAACATCTCTTCCTCCGGGGAGGCATTCCTCTTGGGGCGCCGACTCTAAATCAATAAGGTGTATCTTTTTGTCAATCGGACACAAATTGCAAAGTGGAGGGAAATGATTCATCCCACTGCATGACTCACTCAAAGATAGATGTCGTCTGTACAAAATGTTACTGCCCTGATTTGAGATTTACTATCTGAGGGGGAAGGACTGTGTGTCCTGTGTTCAATTAAAATCCTGTTATTTTCACTGTGACATAAAGAAGCATCCGTCAGTTGGTCCCAGACAGACTGGTGCTTGCAGGACTCCTCTTTTCCCTTAATAAGGCTTGACCTTATGTGAAAGACACTGAGCCAAGTCGGCCTGCGCCAGCTGTTGCGCTGTTTTAACTGTATTCATTAATCCTTGCAGGTACTTGCTGGTATATTTAATAGTTGTGAGGTTCTTCAATATGAAACGGTGGAGACTTTCTAAATGTTTCAACTCTTTATTACCTCAAATTTTAACTGCGCCCTGCAGCGACAGCTGTAAAACGAGGTGAATTCTGCATCTTTATGACGATCCTGCTGGTTTTTGTAAAGCCAGAAAATAGTTTTCAACTTTCTTCTCCTGCATTACAATCAGAAGATGGTAAATATTATTAAATATTAGTAGATATTTAATGCCAACAGTCATTGATTATCTTGTAGAATTTACATTTGTCATCTTGGTGCCATTCACATAAATACATTATAATATGTTTATAATTCATGTCTGAAGGTTTTTGAGTAAAAATACAGGAACAAATTTTTGGTAACTTTTTTGGTAATTTTTGTTTTGCTTTTAGGTTGAAGAATATCTGCCAATATATTCCAATCAACATTAAATGCTCTTTTGAATAGCTTTAGCGTTCAGTCCTCGGCTGCCCATGTTTTGCTTTTTACTCTTGTAGCTTTGAAAAGAAACGGAAACTTGCCAGAAAAGCCCAGAACGGAGGTGGATGTAAAGCGCAAGATTAGAATCTAAGCCAGGAGGGATAAACCCAAACAATCACAGACGAGGCCACAAGATTCCCAGGGGCATGGCAGAGACACACATGTGAATAAATCACAACATGGAGAGAAGAGACAGATACACACATACTGATACAGAACTGGCTGTCTTGCTGACGTTTCCATCCAGGGTTTGGTTGTGCTGCCTCTTCAAATCGGCGTTTCAGATTTCTCAAAAGCAGGTGTTTTGCTCTTTGGTCGAATTCAAATTTCACCATGTGCTTCTTTTCTCCATCTGTTTTTGGCTTTGGCCTGTTGGTTTCGTCTATTTTCATTGCTGAAACATGTATCTACATTCTTACCCGTAGCAATCTCACTGCTTTTATTCTCGCTTTGCACAAAGCTCCTTTCTTCTCTTTGAGGCGTGTGTTCAAGTGGAAGTAGCTTCATCTGTGCAAACTTCTTTCACTTTTCATGGCCTGACCTTGTTTATATAACGGAGTTCTCAAAGTTTTTCTTTTTTCCTCGTTTTTCAGATAAACTGGCCCTCAGGTTTTCAATGCCACTTTGTTAATTAATCCTCTTCTACTACTCTACCTTAAAATAAATCTCAGCTCCGTTTTGACTTTGTTGTCTCAGAAAGAGGAACGCCCTAACTTCATCTAACTATGACAAACTTAAATGCATTTCACTGGGAAGTATGGAGTTAATCAAATCAGTTTGAAAATACACGCATTTACATTCTGCTCCTTTTCCTTTGATTCATCTGCATATTTTAGTGCAGCCAGTTTCCTTCCGTCATAAACTGTTGAATGGATTCAATTATACACTTCTTTTTGTTCGTCCAACGAACGATAAAACACATTGACGTTTGTGGCTGCAACCTCGCAGTTCAAGGGGTGTGAATACTTTTCCGGGTCTTTGTGATTCACGCGCTGGTTGTTTATCCCCCATCTGTTCGTCCACCCATTCATCAGCAGTTGGCTCCATCCATCAAGCCATCCAGTCATTTATTTTTCTCTCCTCTTCTGTGTGTAAACAGCAAATCATTTTCTCAATCACACCCCTTCCCTTGTACAGCCTCCCCTGGGTACAAAAAGTGAATCATGGATTTCTCTTTTTTTTCTTTTTTTTTTTGCAGGAGGCTTGCCAATCCTATTCAGTCGCCATGTGAATTCAATCTCCACGTGTCTGCATTGCTGCCGATTTATCATATATATTGTCTATTTGTATTCATCTGTGACCAGTTTATCTGTTCATTGCAGATGGACCCCCCTCCCTTTGATGGGAAATTTTGACAAAGATAAATTGGGCCATCTGTTATACTATTGAAGTTCAATACACTCTGAGGCTTTCATCACTCCCAGGAATTTTAATTGCTGCAAAATAAACAGAGGTTGTTGTCTGCCTCTGAATTTACTGCCCCGTTTACGAGACGCTGGCAGGTTGACGTCCCGTACAGGTGTGCGCTCGGAGAGCTCCGCAGCAGCTAAATTTTGCTAAAAACATTGTCTAATGACTTGTTACACTTCGCTTCTGCTTCACGGTGCTGCGAGAGCATCAGACATAGACACACACACACACACACCCAGTCATTAATGGAGTGAGATTTATTCGAAGGTGGGGCTACTGACAGACTGCAGTGTCCCTGTGGTGGTGAGTCATATTGTTTGTTTGTTCCTCTCTTAAATCTCTCTCTTTTTTCTCTTTCTTCTTTTCCCAACCTGTCTGGAAGTTATCGCCATGGGGAATCCCTGTGTGAATTGTGGCTCTGCTGGATGTGAGGGGACTTTTATGTGACAGGTTGAGGGAAGGTGGCAAAACCAAGTGCACAGAAACAGAAAGCTCAGGCATGACATGTTGCACAGACCTCCTCTTTGCATTGGGCAGCTCACCTCTTTATCTCTGAACTCTTTTCTGCTTGCTAACTAGTTTTGAGATGTGGGACAAAAGGAATACCTTGATTTTTCACAAATTAAACCTTTAGATTCTATGTCAGAATCAGTGCTATAATGAATCCCTGCAACTTGCCGCATCTGGGTTTTATATTATACACCAACACAAACGAAGTGTATAATTAAAAAGGGAAAATGATCTGTTTTTGTTTTGTTTTTAATTTCTACCAAAAATTCTGACGATTGTGCAATTCGTTTTATATCCAATTCCTCCTGAATCAATACTTTGTGAAACAATCTTTTGCTGCGATTTCAGCTCCAAGTCTTTTGTGCACAAACCTACAGAACTCTTTACCTTTTCTTCCTTGCAGAATCGTAGAATCAGATTGAATCTGGATATATTGCCAAAAATACTCAGAAGACGGTCTAAGCCATTTGAACATATAAATATGTTTGAATGTAAGTATACCATTTTAACTCTGGCTGTATGTTTAGGGTACAGAGTTGGTGTTTTTCTTTAAGAATTTCTTAATTATGCTTTACTTTGCTTTGGTCTGTCTCACAAAATCCCAATGAAAAACATGCAAGTTTGGAGTTTTAAGTTGATAAAATGTGAAAAAGCTTGAGGCGTGTGAAAATCACACTTTAGTTCCCCACTAGCAGCTGAGCAATACAGAAATTTAGACCCTGCTTAGTGTCTCTGTTACTCAAAATCCAAACTGATCAAGGAATTCGGTGAAAAGCACAACTTGTGATGTAGCAAATAAATCAAAGCTGGAAGACTCCATCTATTTATCTTTCACATCTTTTTTTTAAATGTTTTTCTTTTCCAGTAATTGAATAACAAAAATAAATTAAAACTTAAAAAGTGATTAGACCAGATTAATTATTTTTAGACTGAATAGACTCGATTTGAATTGAATGAACTCTTGGACAAAAAGGAGAGATTAATTGAAACTGCATTTCTGCTGTTCAGCTCTCCATCATGAGTGTAACTCAAACCGCTCTCCCTCACACCTACTCACTCTGAAACCTCAGCAGGGATTGCCAGAGTCATTAAATATGCAAGCCTTTGGACTGTGGGAGGGAAGAAGTATCCCCCGCAGAAAACAAATGGACGTACAAGAAGAACATGCAAACTTTCCACAGAGACGCCCCGTCTGACCAGGAGCGAGAAAAACTTAGAAAGTGCTACTAAGTTGGCTGGTATTGCAATGCCAACCTAATTGGGTCAGAAAAGCATCAACACAAATACAATGCAAGATTTATGGATTAGTTGACTCTTTTAGTTGAATTTTTTAGTCTCCTTTTCCCAAGATCCTCAGCAACTAGCGTTGATTTCTAACTAAACATCATCACATGTTTTTTTCTATTTAGCCCATTTCATTTTTAGAAAGTCAAACATTCTGTTAAAAATCTTCCGCACATTCATGAATATTGCAGCAACAGTTGAAAGGAGAGGTCATACTTTCAATTTTAGCTTCTCTTTGTTGGCTCCCAGGAACAGAATTCAACATTTTACTTCTTGCACATAAACCAGTCGATTTTCAAGC